GGTAGAGGTGGAAGACAGTATAGGAGGGATAAATGGTGACAGAAAAAAAGAAAAAATAAATAAAAAGAGAGAAATGGGAGGGAGGAAGGAAAGAAGAAAGAAAGAAAGAAAGAAAGAAAGAAAGAAAGAAAGAAAGAAAGAAAGAAAGAAAGGAATTAAGCTGAATCTAAGCAAGCCTCTGGATCTACCTTTTAGTTTAACGGGAATTACAGAAGGTAGAGGAACAAGTTATATAACACCACCAAATCGAACTGTGGGACATTTTACAGGGCAATTTGTCTAATTTCTTCAAAAGGAAGAGACAGGAAAACTAGGTGAGGGTGAGGTGCATTTACAGCAGAAAAGACTCAAAACTTAAGTGGGATAACAGCTAAAAGTAATATGTGCATTTCGTTTGGATCCTGACTCAAACAAACCCACAATTAAAAAATTATTTTTGAGATAACATGGGGAACTTAGCATGTAGACTAGATATTTAGGATAAAAGTGTACGATAGCTTAGATTTTTCAACAAGCATTCCAACATAAAAAGGAAGCAAAAAGGAAAAGAATTGAAACATGATTAGAAAATTTCAGTCATCTTTCATGCCAAGTAAAGGGACTCCCATGGATTCATGATACTATTGTTTCTCCTCTTATATGTGTTGGGAGTTTTTCATAATCAAAGTGACAGTAGAGTTATTAAGAGGTATTGTTTCTTACAAACAACAGAACCCAAAATATCCGTTCCAAGCCACAAATAATGTGCACTGTATGCTAGAGACTGTGGGAGGGTTTGAGAGATAGTTGTTTGTTTGTTCTGAGATGGGATTACAAGTGTATTAAGGCAAACTTTCTTATGATGGAGCCCAGCAGGTGAAGAATGCCAACAAAAAGTTAGGCATATTCACTGTTGAGGCAAAAGAGAGGGGTCAACAGAGAAACCAAGAGACAGCCAACCAAGCAGATGGGGAGACTAGTGGACTGGGGAGAAATTGAATGAACTAGGTTGGAGAGATACACAGCAGAGCAAGATTGTGTGTAAAAGGGTTAATGTTAGCCTGGCCTGAGAAGCCAACTCTGGACCCTGTGGGATGGTGTATCCAAAACCTTCTTCTATGAAGCTGTGCATCAGGTTGGAAATGGAGGCTACTTCTCCGTGTAAAAATGGCCCATGTGGCTCAGATCCTGTGTAGGTAATAGAGGGATGACCCTTACTTATTGACCCTTTCTTATTCCTTATTTTTATTTCAGTCTACCACACTTATTATTTTAAATATTTACACTGATCATTGAATTGCCCTCAGGTGTAATGAGTCTATTCTACTGTAATCATATAGGTATTTGATAAAAAGACTGAAAAGTTAGGGTCCTGGGAATCTTTTTAAAATCCTGATTTCTGGGCCTCATCCTTCCAGTGATTCCCAGGTAATTCTAATGTGCAGTCAAGGTTGAGAACCACTGCCCTAGGAGTTGTAACCAGCGAGTGAGTCCTGTTCCTTCTTATAGAGCATACCTGACATGCACACTCACCACCAGTTGTAATGTTTAGTTGAGAATGAAACACAACACATGCACCAATGATAACGGCCCACTAGCCTTACTGAGCATTTACTGTTTCCCAGGTACTGGCCAAGGATTTACAAGGTGTGTATCATTTCACGCTTCTACACTAAGTGTTTAGACTCTGAACGGGTCTGGGTATGTTTCCAGCTTGGGGAAATCTCAGCCTTTTGAGGCTAATTCACTTCCTTTACCACAGAGACCCATCCTTGCATTTATACACAAAGTCTTCCAGTGTGGGTAGCTTTCTAGAGGGAACTGTTTTCTTATTTTCCAAGAAGTCTATTAAATATGCTGAATTCTGCTCCTTCCTATTCTTTTCCCCATTGAACAGATGTTTACCAACTCTCCATATGCACCTACCTAGGCATAGAAAGATTCGGAAGGTAGGATCCTAGTCAAGGAACTCCCACTCCATCAGGCATCTCTTCATCTCAGCACACCACTGACCCTCTCCTGTCTAGACCTAGTTCAGGCAGAAGAGAAGTGTCTCTGCACCCTTCCAAGGCTCCTGCTTCCTCCCTCCAGCGCGCCCCTCTCTCACACACACACTGTTCACGTCCTAACCTTTGCTGCCCCCTAGTGGCAGGCCTGAAGAATAAATACCATTGTGCTTCGAGATACATATCCCTGCTTCAGGGGTTTTGCTTGCAAGTAAAACAATTTTTTTCACCAATTTTTCTTTCTCTGATTTACTTGTCTTTGCTTTTACTCTTGAATACTACAGCAAGGTTAAACCTTATTTGAAAGCATAATGTATGGTATCATCGCTATAAGACTGGATATGTAATTTTTAAAAATGTTTTTATTGATTTTAGAGAAAGAGGAAGGGAGGAGAGAAAAAAACCATCAATCAGCTGCCTCCTGCACACCCCTAGTGGGGATCAAGTCCACAATTCAGGCATGTGCCTTGACTGGAATCAAACCAGCAACCTCTCAGTGCATGGGAAAACAACCAACTGAGCCACAGTGGCCAGAGCTGGATATGAAATTTCAACAAGCACAATCACATCACTTTTGCTGGGATAGGTAGACATTAAAATTCGGTGACATGAGAATTCATCTTATAAGGACTTGGCTTTATAATTTGACAGACTTTGATAAACTCAAGCCAATGGGAAAAATCAGCAATCTTATTTAGTGACCTAAATTATTATTTATAATATATACACATGCACATTTTCAGAATGAAAATTTGTTTTAAATCAAACACTGCCAATAAGGTCTCACCTCCTTTCCTATGACTGGCCTGTGTGCTTTGCACTGAGTGCTCTGGCCACTGATGCCTGAAATGCTCTTCCCCCACATGGACCCTCCCTGCTTCCTTCTGGAATTCAGCTCGCCAATATTACCAAGAAGCCTCCCTCACTCCCCAGGCAGGCCTGGCCTTCTGCATTCCCAGAGTCTTGCTCATGCTTCAGGAGTGCCTGCTAGCTCATCACTGTCATTATCTGCTCACTTATTTACCTCCCCCAACTCCTAACCCCTCAAGGCAGGGCTCTTATCTGCTTCCCTCTGGAGCTCCAGCAGTTACTGGGCACCCAGCACTGTCGGGGCTTAGTGAATGTTTGTTGAATGAAGGGAGTAGGGGAGCACCCAAAGGAGCAAAGGCTCAACAGAGGATGTAACAGGAAGTGCAGAGGAAGGAGTATCTGAGTCCAATTAGATCAACCAGTAAAAAGGTCATGATGGATGAGAGGGAGTTAGA